GGTTTCAAACCCATGAGCTTAAGCTATCCACCCTCCTCAGCCTCCCAGAGTGCTAGGATTACAGGCGTGAGCCCCCATGCCTGGAAGCTTCCTAAGCAGAGCTTCTCTCCCATCTGAACGTCCAGAAATGGTCTCGGCCTGTTCCTGAACCAGCCACTGGCAGGGACATGAAATCACCATGGATGGCTTAGGTGACTCAGGCTCTGGCCCAAGTCTGGAAATGAGGCACCTCTCCTGGGTCACTTGGCTGCCTGAATAAAATCAGTGTTCTGTAGAAAGGAAGAAGGGGGAGCGGCTGAGGGTTGGGTGGACAGCGATCCCCATTGCTGATCTGGTTGACTTGTCATTCACATTGTATAGTTTTATAGCCCTGAGTTCTTACTTGACCAGGGCAGCTAGTCCCTGGAATCCTCAAGGCAGAAAGGGGCTGAAAGAACAGAGGAACATTAGATGCTGGGAAGGGAACTAGCCCCAGAACCTGAGCAAGACAGAGAAAGGACGTGTGTGGTTAGAGAAATCCCTCCTAGCTGGTGTGTCAGTGATGTGTACGGACTTGAGGAGTTGTGGCTGGTCCAGAATCTGAGAAAAACTGGGCTTATGCTGTGAGTGGTGGTCCATCTGGATCCACCTGGGAGGGGATAGCAGAGTCGAGCCTCAGTCCTGCACCTCGGCACAGCCTGCCCCAGCTCTATGCACTGGTGTTGCCCAGGTCCTTCCTGTGTGCCAGGCCCAGTGCTGGGACTCTAGGGGCTGAACGCAACAGTTAAATCTCCAACCCTGATGCTTGTGAGATAGAATGACAGATAGAGAGCTGGAAATAAGTGGAGACTGCACTGTGGAGAACCTGGAATGCCAGGGTGAGGGGTCACTGACTCCCCTGAACAAGAGAATAATCGCTGAGAAAGATCTGGCAGCTGTGCGGACAGCAGGTTAGGAAGGAGGTTCCAGAAGCAGCCTAGTTGTCAGGGCTGTCTCTCTGAGGATGTGTTCAGTTGTAAAGTAACTGGATTAATGAAGTGAAGGTGTTACTTTGTTTAATTGGAGAAATCAGAGATAGGTCAAACTTTAGGTCTGGCTTAATTTGGTGGCTTCATGATACCATTGCAGACTCAGTTTCTTTTTTCTCTGTGCTCTGTTTTCCCAGCTATCAGCTTCATGACAGGGCAGCCTTTCCCTCCTGTGACAGTGACCTTGGAGCCCGTTGCTCCCCTCTACTCAGCACACAGTTCTGGGCCTGGGCAGGTGCAGGGGAGCATAGAGTGGGATACATCTAAAGAAGGGGATGATCTCGTCACATTCTAGGATTTGAGATAAGATTCTTTAGTGATGGAGGTGTGGTGCCACAAGCAAAAATGGAGCAGTCAGGAAAAAGAACAAGTTTGAAAAAGAGATACTGAGTTAAGATCACTCATGTAAAAATTGAGGTACCGATGCATGCACCCTCCTGGTGGAGAGGCTCACCTGAAATGAGCCTGGACTCAGAGGAGAGGTCAGGGCCAGAGATGTAGGGAGTTCTTGGCATGGAGGTAGGGTGGGAATGCAGGAATGGGACCAGGGGGAAATGCCAACTTTTAAGATATGGGAATGAAAATGCATCTTTCTCTACTCCAACAAAACCTTGCTGAAGACTCCCGTCTTCTGGGTGATACTTCAGCACCGGTAACTGGTAGTGAGCCAGCATCACCAGTGATACTTCAGCACCGGTAACTGGTAGTGAGCCAGCATCACCAATGCCACTTCCTCACCCTGAGCCCCGCTTATCAGCCTGCATATGTTTACCAAGCATCTCTACTAGGTTCCAGGCTCTGCAGAGATATACCTACGCAGAGGATATGGTCCCAACTGTGGCTTTCAGTATCAGGGCATCCCTATTCATTCCTCGACTGCTCACTGACCATCCATATGAACATCTGTATGCCAAAGGCCATGCAAGGCATGGGAACACAACCTGGGCCATCTTGAGTTGAGGTCTATACCTCCAGCAGCAGAGATCATCTCTCCCTCTCTAACCTTGGACCTTTTTATTTTCTTTCTTTCTTTCTTTTTTTTTTGGAGACAGAGTCTCATTGTGTCACCCTTGGTAGAGTGCCAAGGTATCATAGCTCCCAGCAACCTCATACTCTTAGGCTTAAGCAAGTCTCTTGCCTCAGCCTCCCAAGTAGCTGGGACTACAGGCGCCCACCACAATGCCTGGCTATTTTTTGGTTGCAGTTGCCATTGTTGTTTGGTAGGCCCAGTCTGGGTTCAAACCTACCAGCCCCAGTGTACGTGGCCGGCACCCTAACCACTGAGTACAGGCGCCAAGCCAGCATTTTTACTTTTTTCCCTTTTTTATTTTATGTTTCTTTATATTGTATTCATTTATTTTTTTCCTGCTGTTCTTGATACTGGCTCTCTAGCTGCTGGCACAAGCCCTGTTACTGGGAGGCTGTGCTCTGATTGCCATGTCCCCTTTAGAATATTTCCATGACAAATGATACAGGTTCCTGAGCAGTCTGCTGGGGGGTTCCTTTGCGTCTTGAGGCAGTAAATCCCTCTGAATCCCAGCCCGTCTATCCCCTAGCACCCTGTGTCTTCCTTTACTCACCATGACCTGGGCTGCCTCGGCACCTAGCTTGTACCCACAGTTGACGGAACCTTGTATAGCACCGCTCTACTCCCTGCCCTTCAAGAACTTCTGTCATGGGCCAGATGTGGTGGCTCATGCCTATAATCCCAGTACTCTGGGAAGCTGAGACAGGTGGATTACCTGAGCTCCAGGAGTTCAAGACCAGCCTGAGAAAGAGTGAGACCCCCCCATCTCTACTAAAAAATGGAAAAACTCGCCAGGTGTCATGACTGGTGCCTGTAGTCACAGCTACTTGGGAGGGTAAGGCAGGGGGACCACTTGAGCCCAAGAGTTTGAGGTTGCTGTGAGCTAGGATGCCATAGCACTCAACCCTATGGCAACTGATTCAGACTCTGTCTCAAAAAAACAAAAACAAAAACAAACTTCTGTCATCCTCCTCTAGTCATATGTCTGTTGAGTGAGTGATTGATGAGGATGGAAAGAAGCAGGCCCCACCTGTTCTCCAAATTCCTGCAGTATTTACCTTCTGTGCTGCTCTAGGGAGAATCAGGCACTGACCTGAGGTAGCACCTGTCTCACAGCCTTGGACTTCTGTGTTAATAATAATTATCGAACACTTACTATGTGCCAAGCACCGTGCCACACCTTTGACATACTATACGTCATTTAATTGTCAGAAATATTCTATGAAGTAGCTTCTGTTTTTTTTTGAAACAAATGACAAATTTTATTAAATGAGTTAATTTTTATGTCCAAGCACAAGGATAATGAAATATATTTTCCATGCAAAATATTATATACATTAAATAACATACAGTGGTAACAATGCAGTGTAGGTTTCCTGGGAAGCAGACTCTGTGATAGAAATATACAAACAGGAAATGATTTATTGGGCAGTGCTATTTAGATGAGGACCAGTAAAAGTGGAAGAGTGAAGCAGGATAGACAGAACAAGAAGTTGAACTCGGGCGGCACCTGTGGCTCAAAGGGGTGGAGCGCCGGCCCCATGTACCAGAGGTGGCAGGTTCAAGCCCAGCCCCGGTCAAAAACTGCAAAAAAAGAAAGAAAGAAAGAAATTGATCTCTATCGAAGTCCCGACAAATGTCTCAGTTGATCCCTTGAGGAACCTCTGAAGTCGGGGAAAACCCCTCAAAGATGTCTGAATTGAGGCAATGGCCAGTCTTTGCATATCTGCTGCCCCACAAACAGGAAGCTTGAATGGAACTACTCTCTTTAGCCAGGGGCAATTTCCAGAGAAGAACTCAGCAGGCAGCAGCCAACTACCAATGGTCCCAGTAGCTGAGGGAAGGAGTGCTTCAGTTTCAAAAGGGTTGGGGGATTTGTGAGTAGCTTCTGTTTTTGATCCCCGTTTAACAGATGCAGAAATCAAGGTTTGCCCATTGCCACACAGCCAGTGTGTAGCAGGATCAAGATTGGGCCAAATCTGTCTAGCATCCGGACCCCAATTCTGAACCAATACCTATAGTATATTAAAGTTAGTCCAGGCCACTTTTGGACTTGCCTGGGGTACTTATTGAAAATTCAGATTCCTGTACCTCATTCTCAGAGGTTATGATTCATCAGGTTTGGGGTGGTGCTGCTAAATCTGATTTTGCAAAGCCCTCAACTTGAGTCTAATGTACTCTAAAGTTTGAGAACTGTGCCCTGTGTGCCTGCCTCCTGCTTTTTCTTTAAAAAAAAAAAAAGTTTTTGGTAAACTGTATTTTACACACATAAGAGTATATAAACCTATGTGTGCAGTTCAAGGAATAATTATTATAAAGTAGGTCCCCATGTGACAACTACCCAAGTTAAGAAAGAGACATCGTCAGTCAGTGCTTTGGAGCCTCCCTGGTGACCCCACCTGATCAGTGTCCCTTCCCTGTCTTAGAGGTAACTCCTCAAAGACAATGGTGTGTAATAATCATCCCCTGGTTTTCTGTTATAATTTTTCCACTTGTAGATTCATCCCATGACAATATGAGTTTTGCCTATTTGTGAACTTCACACAAGTGGACTTGGGTTTTACCAGCCCTCATCTCTCTGTTTCTTTTCTTCCATATTCTTTTTGTGGGATTCATCCACGCTGATGCATGTAGGAGTAGGTGGCTCGTTTTAATTGCTAGTGCAGCCTTCTGTATAAAGTCTGTATCTCTTGCTGATTTATATCCTTTAGAGTGCCGAGCACAGCACTGAAAATATAGCAGTTGCTTAGTAAATATCTATTGGCTAGATTGGGGGAGGACACCCCAAGTAACAGTGTGAGGATGGCATTGAGAAGTAGAAGTGCTCTACCGGGACTCGTGGCCCCCATGGGAGTTCTGCCCTTGTTTTTCTCTGCATAGTCTCTGCCTGTTGCTTTTCAGTTGTGGGCAATCCGAAATGTTTTCATCTCCCTGTCAAATTAATTCTTTTCTGTGTCCCATTTCAGAATGCCGAACTGGGGAGGAGGCAAGAAATGTGGGGTGTGCCAGAAGACAGTTTACTTTGCTGAAGAGGTTCAGTGTGAAGGCAATAGCTTCCATAAATCCTGCTTCCTGTGCAGTGAGTACACCCCAGGCACTGCTGTTGCCACGAACACCAGGATGGGGCCTGCCCCCACAGGCTGGGCCTGTCAACACCCAAGGGAACTGGTCCCTTGGGATGTAAACAGTTTGACATTTGGCTGAAGCGCAGCTGGGGAGGAAAACACTTAAGGGCCTCTTTGTTCCGTTCAGAAGCTGCTTTCTGAGGGATGAACTGGCCAGAGCTGGTGGGGGTGGCAGGCATTCAGGGGCTGAGAGCCAAGCTGTGAAGACTTGGTTCGGAAAATTTTCCATTCTGCTCTCCCTTCTTTCTCTTACTGCCACAATCCCATCATTTCAGAGGAAGATACTTTTAGCACAAAAGTGTCCCAAAGCTTCACTTGCCTTCTGACCAAAAATATGCCTTGTTAAAGGGAACAGAGGCCACAACCTTATGGTGAAGCTGAGTCTGGAGGAAGAGCTGGGCTCCTCCTTCCTCAGTCTCCTGTGAGCCAGCCCACTCACTTCTCATTCCTACTCAGACAGCCTGGGATGAGAGTATCAAGGTTCTTTGATACTCTCAATAATCCAGGGGAAGATTTGCTCCAGTCACAAGCCAAACCAAGAGAGGTTAGGGGGACCCAGGGATCCTGACTTGATGATGCTGCACTGGCTGGTACCTGGGCCAGGTGATGTTTCCAGGATGTGGCAACTTGGAGAAGCCTCTTTTCAGATTCCTAAATGATTTAGTTCATTGTGATCAGAGCAGAAGGTCTGAGTTAGAAGAAGAGGCAACTTCAGCAAGACACATTTTCATCAAGAGCAGACAAATAGTGGAAGGCGGTAGAATGTCTTGGTTAACCCCTAGGTTTCAAAGCCAGTGTGATCAGGGTTTGAATTTGAATTCAATTTTCATTATCTGTGTGATAAAGGACACGTTACTCAAGTTCTTCTGGTAGAGTTCTCTTATCCCTATAGTGGAGGTAATAATGCCCCCATGGGGTTGTTGTGCGACTTAAAATGAAAGGAGCTTGTAAAACAGGTGAAGCACTGAAAGCAATCGTGAATGCTCCATAAATGATAAACGCTCCCTTGACACACACACTGTTGAGGGATCTCTAACAAGGTGCTGTGGTGCAAAGAAGCTCTCACAGGGAGCTGAACTCCATCCTGCATCACACAGAGCAAAGTCGGGAGATCGGAGGATCCTTTGTTCCCCGGCGATTTGTGTTCCAGAATAATATCCAGATGAATGAGGCCTGTTCACCGCATATGTGCCACATGTCTACCTGTTGCTGGGCAGACCAGCTCGAAGCCACCTGACACCCTGCCCAGCCCAGCCTGGAGTGACAACCCCAGGGCTGTGTCTAATGAATGGAGAGTAAACAGGGTTTGGTGAGCTCTGTTGGCTTCCAGCCTGCAATGGAGGCCAGAAGCAGCAATGTCTTGTTATCAGCAGTTTGCTGCACTTAAGAATGTACAAGTTGTTTATTTTTTCAGAAGATATAAGAGAGGGCTTGGTGGAAGTTCCAGGCTGATAGGGTCCTAGCAACCTCTCTCTGCTGTCAAATGTTGCTTAATCCTTGACTAAGGGGGGCCAGCTGTGGCAATAGCGCCCACAGTCCTGCTGGTAGAGGAGCCGTTGGTCAGAAGGAAGTCGGGAATTCAGGAATTCAGGGAGTGGCAGAGGAAGGAAGGAGCAGGGCCTGGGGCAGGGTATGAGGGGGTATTGAGGATTAGCAGCAGTTGCAGAAAGTCAGGCTAGGGAGCAGGGCTGGGGGTGTGTTAGGTAATAACACCACTGGGAACAGTTGCATTCTCTCTGGGGTCGTGGGGCCAGCACAGTTCCTGGTGTCAGAGCTTCATGTGGACTGCTTAGCACCACACGTGCCCCAGCAGTCTGAGGCATCCACAGCTTGCTTAGTCCTAGTGCCCAGAACAGTGCCAGGCACACAGTGGGTTTTTGACAAAGATTTGTTTATAAATGGAAGGAGCCTCATTTCTCCTTTTCAGTGATGTGGGTGATGAATATCCAGCTTGAATTCAGGGCATCCCACAGAATCAAAGGACTTCCTTCTCCTAAGGAATGGAGTGGTTAGCCAGGGCTCGGGCCTGGGGGGCAATAAGGACCATCTTCCTGTTGGCTGGGCCCTGGGTGGGTGCCCAAAAGTTCTTCTAACCATGTGGTTCCTTAGTTCTGGATTCTACTTAGCATCCCTGCCCTAAGCATCTGGATGGGCAGGAGGAAGACAAGATAATATAATAAGTACAGTCAGGGAAGAGCCAGTGCAAACCCTGGGATCAGGGAGCAAGCAGGACTGCAGCACACTCCAGTGGTCTCAGTAGGGGCCTCCAGTTCCCATTAGCAGGCAGGGTTGAGAGCCTGGTAGAAGAGCTTAGCTCTGTGACTGGGAACCTGCCCATGGCTGTGTGCCCATCTCTGAGCTGTAACCAGTTCCCTCCTGGGGTAGGTCGGGGTTGAGCAGCTGTAGAAAAGAAGAGCTCACTTACCCTATTCATGTGGTGAAGGCTGATGGAACAGGGGTCAGCAGAGCCGGCCCCTGCTTCTGGCTAATTATGTCAGCTTGAACTTTTTTGTGGGCCTTGGTTTTTCTTGTAGAAGCAGAAAGAATCACTCTCCACTTTCAAGTGGGGTGAGGGAACTCTGACCTCTCCCCTGGGGAACCTCTTTTGTGTGTTTCCAAACAGCATCATGAGGCCTCACCAACTCCGGGACATCTGGGAATAGATTTTCCCAAAAAATATACAAATTTAATCTTTTATGGCTTACCATGATTTGGTAGAAACTTATTCAGGCCTTCCTACAGAGCACAGTTGCCCTTGATTGAGTCTTTGTTGGGCTTTACAGTGAGCTGGATCCCCAACTGCATCACCTGGGTGGAGGGTCAAAGGGCCAGCATGGGAGGATTGGACCTCTGAGGGAAGAGGAGGCCAAGGCAGAATGAGTGGAGCAGGGAGCTCTTTAGCAAGGGAGCCAAGTGGAGGGTGTCAACTTATAGGCCCTGATACAACCACACTTATCTCCGCTATCTGCCTTCCTTGTGGTCTTGGAATTCCCAGTTCATTTTGGGTTTTTACAAGGAAACAATTCCAGGCGAATGCCTCTCTTCCCACCCTAGAAGGGAATGTTGGAGTTCATGGCCTATTGTTCCCTCTCCTTTCTTCCTGGGAGCCAAGCCCCAGGGGAAGTGATGGGAAGTTCCATATTTGGGCAGCCCAGAGTGTTGGAATGAGATGGAGATCTCCAGGGCAGGACAAGAGGGTCCTTATTTAGTCTGAAGTTTCCAACCTGGGGATCAGGGCAAGAGAGAAGTTGCCAGAGGAGCGCTCAAAGGCAAGAGCATGGCAGCTGCAAAGAGCTGAGCTAAGAGCCTTCTGTGAGGGAGAGAAGAGCTGTGGCTCCTCCGGTGGTTTCCCTAGGTTTCTTTTTTTTTTTTTTTGCAGTTTTTTTTTGGCTGGGGCTGGGTTTAAACCCACCACCTCTGGCGTATGCGGACGGCTCCTTTGAGCCACAGGCGCCGCCCAGTTTCCCTAGGTTTCTATTTCAGAAGGACACATTTGAGGATGCAGTCTGGTTGGGCACATTGAACTCCAATATTTGAAGAATATCACAGAACCAGATTAGGGTAACAGAATGAGACTTAAAGAAAGAGGTGAATTAGACTCTCTTGAGAGGAGTTTTTGGGGGTTAGAAGGAATGGTCTCTTGAGGCTGGGCCTGTCCCTCCCTTCCCTTATCTCCCAGTGATGAAACTTTATATAGACTAATAAGAATAGCTGACATTTATTACAGACCTGTTATGTGCAGGGTGTTGTGCTAAGTGGTTTACATGTAAGATTATATTTGATTCTCACTGCTGCCTTTTGGGACAGACATTATTATCTGTATTTACAAATGAGGACATGGAGGCTGGAAAGGCAAAATAATTTGCACAAGATCACACACTTGGAAAGAGAGAGAGCTAGGATTTGATTCTGCGTAACTCCACGTGATCCCAGGCTCTGAATGTTTTACTCTGGATACCTGGCACAGCTTTCCTCTGAGATTAATAGGCCCACAGCCTTTCTAGCCCATCCCAGCCTAATGTCTCCTATGGTAGGTATCAGGAAATTCTTCCCTATTTCTTCCCATAGCAAAATGATTTCTGAGATGAGAAACTTCAAATCTTTTTTTTTTTTTTAGAGTCAAATTTTTCAAAATTTAACATTTACAGCATGCATGATACATTCCAAAATTATCTGACATACAAAAAAGAAACTGATAAACCAAGAAAATGTAACACATTCTCTAAAGAAAAAAAAACCCAACCAAATAAAACTTATCATAAGGTGACCCAATCATTGGTAGTAGCAGATGAATATTTTAAAACAAGTCACTATAACAATCCAAAGTTATATAAAGCAAAATATTAAAAGCACTCTGGAGGGCTCAAGCGAGTGGATTGCCTGAGCTCAGGAGTTTGAGACCAGCCTAAGTAAAGCAAGACGCCCTCTCTACTAAAAATAGAAAAACTAGCTGGGTGTTGTAGGGGGTGCCTGTAGTCCCAGCTACTTGAAAGGCTGAGGCAAGAGGATTGTTTAGCCCAGGAGTTTCGGGTTGCTGTGAGCTATGATGCCACAGCACTCAACCCCAGGACCACAGAATGAGACTCTGTCTCAAAAAAATTAAAAATAAAAAAAATCAGGATACAACAGCTTTTGTGTGTATATGTGTGTGTGTGTGTGGTTTTTGGCTGGGGTTGTGTTTGAACCTGCCACCTCTGGCATATGGGGCCAGTGCCTTACCCCTTTGAATCACAGGCACCACCCAAAACTTCAAATCTTATTGTAATTATCATGACCTACAACTCATGTCAAAGTCCATCATGTTGGGGCACCTAATAAACGTGAAACTTTTCTTCTGGGCATTTTACTTCACTTGCATCCCTCCCCCTCGCCTCCCTCTAGTATGCACAGATCATCTCTTCTAGATTCTGCCCTTATTCCTTCCTGTCTTTATTCTTCTGTTGGGACACATGGTCTCTGTCAAGGACAGAGTAAAGAATCTCAACAAGTGTCCTGTGGCTTAGGGTTAGCTTAGGCTTTTGCCTTTGAACCTGGGGTACACTGCAGCCTGAGGAGGTACAGGGGTGCTGAGCACTGAGGGAGACACATATGGATTCCTGGAAGTGGTGGCTTGGCTAGCACACTGGAGTTAGGCTTGCAGCTCCCATCCCCCTGACCTCCAGCCCACTGGCCACTCCACCTGCCTCTATGTCTGGACTGTTTCTGAAAGATCAGGGTATAAGGTATGCTAAGTGTCCAGAGAGCTTTGGCTGCAGGGGGTGGCTTGCAGTAAGCAAGCAGCTCACCCCAGCTTCAATGCATCATACCTGCTTCTCCTCCATAGTGGTCTGCAAGAAGAATCTGGACAGTACCACTGTGGCTGTGCATGGTGAGGAGATATACTGCAAGTCCTGCTATGGCAAGAAGTATGGGCCAAAAGGCTATGGCTACGGGCAAGGTGCAGGCACGCTCAGCACCGACAAGGGGGAATCATTAGGCATCAAACATGAGGAGTGAGTAAATACCCCTTCACCCTTTTTATTGAGTTTTCTCCCCCTACCCTTGGATAACACATGGTTTTAACGACTTTTGGTTAAGTAGTGGAAGGCACAGAAAGCCATTTATTTAAAAAGTAGTCACAGAACTTCTGGAGGTGCTGGGGTTCATGGGTACTGAAACAGACTTCTCTCTGCCTGGGGTGTGCATCCTATATTTGTATAAGGGTCAGAGCTGGGAGGGGCCCTAAAAATTACTTAGTCCAGTAATTTCCTCTTTTTCTAGATGAGAAAATTATTTAATCCAGTAATTTCCTCCTTTTCTAGATGAGAAAATTTTCCTCTTTTTCTGGATGAGAAAATCCAGTCACTGAACCTGGGCCCCATGAGTGGGGGAGTGTTTGAGCCAGACCAGGGCAGTGCCATTACTATAACTAGGCTCTCAGCCCTGTTACCTCTCACCCCTGCATGGGGAAGTCATTTCCCTTCCTTGAAAATGCCACAGGGTGTCACTGAGTCCCCTGATCCGGACCCCACCCACCCCCCACCCCCGGCCTCTGACCTCCTGATAAAAAATGGCTTTTGGCAGTCAGCCTGGCTAGCTCCTAGGAGATGGACGGAAATGACAGGCTAGTGACCAACTTTCAGCCAAGGTCATTGCCCCAGTGGGAATGATTTTTCAGCAGAATTTCTCCTGAAAATAATCTGGTAATAGACCAGCTACAGGATAAAGGGGCACAAAATGTCAATTCTTAGCAAATGAGGTGTCAAATGATTCTAGTGTTTTAACTGGAGACTGAGGGAAGTATGTTTCAATGAAAACAACATGGTGTGGAGCCTTGGTTTGTCCAGCTGTAAAATGGGAGATGACCCGAGACCCTGGTGGCCCTAACCTTGATAACTCTGGTAGAGAGAGCTGCTCCCTGTACCCTAGCATGAGATGACGGCGGGCCATACCCTCCCAGTGCCAGCCTCTCCTGTATTTGTCAACATAAGTCCTCTCACACCATGTCCTCCCCTTGGCAGGGTGCCTGGTCACAGGCCCACCACCAATCCAAATGCCTCCAAGTTTGCCCAGAAGATTGGTGGCTCCGAGCGCTGTCCCCGATGCACCCAGGCAGTCTATGCTGCGGAGAAGGTGATTGGTGCTGGGAAGGTAAGATGGCTGCTGGGCATGATGGGGAGGGGGGAGGGAGATATCTTCCTGAAATGTGGATTCCAGAACTTTGCAAGTGTTGACCCTACCTCTGTTTAGGGCAACCTGAGCACTGGGCTTTAACCCCTTCCCTTGCAGAGGAGTAACTCATTGTGTCCATGGCTTGGTTGTCCTGTGCCTTCCAGTCTCCAAGGAGCTCATATTACCCATAAATAGTAACATCCCCAGCACCAATAGGCTGTATGAGCAATTTGTAGGGAGTTGCAAAGGTCAACTCTAGTATTGGGGACCACAGAGTCTAAGGATGTGTGGATGGGTTTAAGAGGGTCCACAAAGTCCCTGAAATTATACACAGAATTTTATGAGAACATATCTCTTTCTAAGAAAATGACCCATAGCTTTCATCAGATTGTCAAAAGAATTTGTGATCCCCAAAATGTTAAGAACTACCTCAAAATATACTTTCTGTTTCATGGGATATGGACTCCTAGAAACCCATTCATATACCCCCAGGGCAGAGATTTTCAGGGTTCAGAGCTGCTTGGGAGGTTTTTTCAAACTATTTATAATTACTATGTGTACCCTTTCCCCCATGAATTCCTGATAATAGCCCCAATCACCAGTGCACTGTAAGAATCACTGTAGCAAACCAACCATTCTAAATTGAGCTGATCACATCCCTTAGGATGCAATGAAGAAAAGGCAGGAGAATTCTTGCCCCAGAAGTTGGCAGCATCAGTTGAGCAGTCAGAAAATCACAGAAGAGGTATCTTCAAGCTATGTAGCCAGAGAGGATTTCTGGATCATTGTAGGAAGCCCAGAATGGAGCAGTGACTTGGCAAAGTTCCACAGTAAGCTGTGGGACAACTGAGCCTAGAGCCTACCTTCAGCTCCATTGTATTTGGGTCCTGGCTTTCAAGCCCTTTTGACCTTGAGGAATGTGGTCAGGAGTTGAGGAACTGTCACTTAGGCCAAATCTAACTATAGCAGGCTCTCAACCCTCAATCACAGATGGAGATGGGTAATATTAACCCCATTTTACAGATGGAAAAACTGAGTCAGAAGGATTAAATAAGTTGCCCACATCTGCTAGCTAGGGAGGGCTAAGTAAGGATGAAGCCCCTTACACTGAAGCCCTTTTTCTTATTGTTCTTACTTCTGTTAACTTCACTTGGGGCCATTTAACCCCTTTGAACCCATTTCCACAGCTGGAAAATGGGAAGGATTGAATCCCAGCTAAACCACACCCATCGCCATATTTCCTAGCCAACCCTTACCTTTTAAATAAGCTCAATCCATTTGCTCACTCATATAGCACTTAAAAGTACTCCCAGCATTTGATGAGGAGCTTGGACCCTAGATAACATGGTCTGAATCTTAGTTTTACTATTTACTAGTTGTTTGACCTTGGGCAAATTTAACCTTCCTGAGCCTCAGGTCTGCATCCAGTAGACCTGGATGGTGGAGCAAATCACGGTTCCCTGACAATCAAGGTAGTTTAAAACATTAAATAAGATAATGCCATGGCTGGGCATGGTGGCTCATACCTGTAATCCTAGCACTTTGGGAGTCTGAGGCCTATGGATTGCTTGAGCTAAGGAGTTTGGGACCAGCCTGAGCAAGAGCAAGACCCCCATCTCTACAAAAAATAGAAAAAACTGAGGCAAGAGGATCTCTTGAGCCTGAGATCTTTAGGTTGTTGTGAGCTATAATGCCATGGCACTCTAGTCAGGATACCAGAATGAGACTCTGTCTTAAAAAAAAAAAAAAGATATTCAACTGGGCCTGATGCAGTGGCTCACGCCTATAATCCTAGCACTCTGGGAGGCTGACACAGGTAGATTGCTTGAGTTCAAGACCAGCCTGAGGTATTTTTTATCTCTAAAAAATAGCTGGGCGTTGTGGCAGACTCCTGTAGTCCCAGCTACTTGGGAAGTTGGGAGGGTGAGTCAGGTGGATTGCTTGAGCCCAAGAGTATGAGGTTGCTGTGAGCTATGACATCAGAGCACTCTACCAGCAGCAACAAAGTGTCTCTAAAAGAAAAAAAGAAAAAAATGCCTGCGTAGTATACAGTGTAGTGCCTAGTATGTGCTCAACAGCTATAGTTATTATTGTTGTTTACTTTTGGGGTTGTTATGTGGTCAGAATGAAGATTGCTATTGATTAAATGATGAAAACAAGAGATATTAATATTATTACTAAATTGGGATTTTTTTTGCTCTGTCTCACCATGAGAATAGGAAATTATAAAACTTACTTAAAAATCACTGTTTCCAATGTTTAGACAGAGTATAAGGTAAAGTTAAAACTGTATTAAGAAGTAGGATAAGAGAATTTTGCATTCAAGTAGAAAATGTAAGAGAAGCCATCACCTCTCTATTGCCTGGGTCAAGAAATACATTGCGAGGCTCAGCGCCTGTAGCATGGTAGTTATGGTGCTGGCCACATGCACTGAGGCTGGTGGGTTCGAATCCGGCCTGGGCCTGCTAAACAACAATGACAACTGCAACAAAAAAATAGCCGGGTATTGTGGCAGGCACCTGTAGTCCTAGCTACTTGGGAGGCTGAGGCAAGAGACTTGCTTAAGCCCAAGAGTTTGAGGTTACTGTGAGCTGTGATGCTATGGCACTGGACTGAGGGTGACATAGTGAGACTCTGTCTCAAAAAAAAAGAAATACATTGAAAAGCTGGGCGTACTTTTAAGTGCTGTGTGAATGAGCAAAAGGATTGAGCTAATTTAAAAGGAGGGTTGGCTAGGAAATGTGGGGATGGGTGATAGTCTGGCTGTGATTCAGCCTTTCTCCAGCCTGGGGAGTTTGGGTGGCAGTCCCTGCTTTACAGAGAAGTTGAGGTCATACCCAGTGATGAGGGGAGGACTGAGTCCCAGGTTCTGCCTATTTCAGCTTTCTGCACCCCACCAATATTCTTTAGCACACAAGGAGGACCTACCACGCGGGGTCAGGCAGCCAGGAAATCCAAGGGGATCCAGTTTCCTTTCTTATCCTTTAGCCTGGGCGGCTGTGCCGAAGGAGTCTCTTTGTCCTTAAAAGGCCTTATTTTGTCCTGGCTGCTGCTTGCCTCTTGCTTTTCCTGGGTTTAGCAGATCAGTCTACAATCAGCCTCTTAGCCTGCTCAGCTGTTGCTGATAGGAGCTGGCTGCTGACAATTCTTTCTGTGCAAGGTCCCTGGACTGTGTGCAAACCTGGGTCCTACGTTCCCCTGGGAGGCTATTTGCCCAGTGTTGCCTTGGTGAACCTTTTAGAACCACGTAGGGCCGTCTGTGGCCCCTGGAGAAACTATACTTTTTAGGCCTTTTCCTGCTAAAATCAATGCATTGCACAAGTCCTTTCTCCTTTCAGAGTAATACTAGATAACACAGACTCAGGGCCTCCCCCGTGTTAGGCCCTGTGCCAAGCACTTCACACTAGTGACATTATTTAATGCTCACAGGCAGCTACCTAGTGAGAGAGATAACCCATTCTCAGAGGGGTGATGGCCTTTGGGTAAATGAAACATCCAGTTCTAGAATTTCAGATGCCTGGCTGGTTCAAGAGAATCCCCACTACAAATGCCTGCTTTGCCTGGTCCTCACATTTATTCTGCAAGGTAGGCAGAGATGCTTCCCACATGAGGAACCTGTGAGGCTGTTCAACTAGTAAGTGGCAGAACCAGGAAGAGTCCAAAGCCCTTGGTCATCCCACTAATCCACAGGCAGGAGACGGCCTGAGAAGGCTCATCTGGTCCCACCTATGGGGAACAGACAGCTACCTTGGAAGTAATCCCATCTCCTCGCCTGCCTTTTGTGGATAGCTGGTAACACTAGTCATCAAGCCATTACAGCACCTCATCAAAGATGGTGTGAAATGGTGTGTGGTCCCCAACCTGCTCCCTCTACTCCTTGGCACCACGGGCCATGTGCTTCCTATGGTACCAGCTGAGCACACTTTAGAAGTGTCTTGTGCTCGTCCTCCATGATGATATCGAGGGGAGTGGGGCTGGAGGTGGAGGGTACCCTAGTCACTGGTGGCAGCATTAACTGTTTCCTTCTCTACTTAGTCCTGGCACAAGTCCTGCTTCCGATGTGCCAAGTGTGGCAAAGGCCTTGAGTCAACCACCCTGGCAGACAAGGACGGAGAGATTTACTGTAAAGGTGGGTGGTTTCACTTATGAATGAGGGTCATGAGGCCCAAAGGGGTAGGAGCCCTAAGAAGTTATAGCTTTGCTGAATATAAACTAATTCCTGGCCTTGAGACCTGAGAGCCAGAGCATCTAGTATGACTCCTTCATTTTACAAATGAAGTGTCTGGTACTAGGGGAGGGGTATCTTTAGTGGGAAGGTGGGTGGTGTGGCTGGGGGCAGAGGAGTATGCCCTTACCTCTCTCCTCTCTCTGCAGGATGCTATGCTAAAAATTTTGGGCCCAAAGGCTTTGGATTTGGGCAAGGAGCTGGAGCCTTGGTCCACTCTGAGTGAGGCCACCATCGCTTGCTGTATCCTGCCCACTCCTGCGCTTTAAATCGCCATTCCCTTCCCAGCAGCCTTGGAGGCCTCCGGGATGCCTTCTCTCTCTCTCAGCCCTGCCACATATCACTAACGACTTGAACATTATCATCTGGCTCCCTTTGATTTGGGGGTCTGCCTGAGGTCCCACCCGCTAAGGGGTCCCCCTTTGTGGCATCTGACACCATCACCAGTAGAGGGCTTCAGTGGTTTTGGTCTGGGTGAGACAAGGCTGCCCTCTGCTGGCTTCCCACACCTCACCCCACAGCCCTCTATTTTTAGCCTCCTAGGCTGAGTATCCATCACTTGGCCAAGACGGGTGAGCCCACATATTGGAGCCCAGCACTAGGAGCAGCAGCACTAGGCCTGGAGGAGAAAGGAAGCAGGACCAAGATGAGATAGAGGAAGGCTGGGCTTTATTGGATCTGTGGGGAAAAAGATGGGTTTCTTGGTGTCCCTCGGAATAAGGAGTCCTAGCTCAGGGAGTCACTGTTGGAGGCAGAGAGCTGTGCAGGCAGGATTGTAGGAGACCCTGCTTCTCTAGGCCACTTGCCTGTGAGTCTTTAATGCAACTTGCATCCTACTACTTAGTTGGAAGGGAACTCATGTTGGGATATTGTCTGACCTCCCCAGAAATGCTTGGTGGGGAGATCCTAATGAAACAACTCCAGTACACATTTGCGTTTATCAGGGGCACACATCTCTGGAGAGTTAGTTCTGGCCCTGACCCTAGGTCCTGAGGCTACAGATGGGAATTTCTGCCTGTCCCAGCACAGCCAGGGCTTTCTGTTCTTGACACGCTTGCTTGACCCTGAGAAGTGGAGGGAAGCCAACACAGCCTCTGTCTTCATCCAGACACCCCTTCCCTCTGCCCCTACTCCTCAGGACCTTCTCTCCAACCCAAGACCCTGCCTCCTCCACTCCATTCTTCTCCAGGGAACCATCTCTGACCATGTCACTCCATCCCTTCCAGGCCCCAGATCAGGAGCAGTGGAGGGAAGGGGCTGGTGACTAAAAGGGTGGCAGGCACAGGCCATATTCAAGCTGATTTCTCATCTGATCAATAAAGCTGTTTAGAACAAAATCTGGTGTCTGATCCTGCAGTCTTGTATCTGTGGAGCACTGCCACTCCTCTGGTGCTGGAAGGGAACTTAATGGGAACAGTAAAATTAGCAGGAGGCCAGTTGGAAATGAGTTAAAATGGATTTGTTCTGCTTTTTCTTGAGGACCAACTACTTCCTGGTATTGATCTAAATGAACCACACTGCCCAAAGTGACATGACCAACTATATACCACCACTTTGCCCTATCTGGACTCCACCCCCACATCTGGGCATGGGAACTGGGTGGACTTTTGACTTTGAGGGGCTCAGCCAGGCCCCAAAATTGTACTCAGGACTTCTACCAGTTTGGGAAGCCCCAGCAGAGGGCTCCTCTCCTTTCCAGAGAAGGAAATTCGGCCAGAAGAACTTCCATGTCAAATCTGAAAAGCTTAGTTCTGCCTAGGAGGGCTGGGGTGGAGAGGCCTAGCTCAGCCTGCCACACTGTGGGGCCCCCACAGCCTAGTCCATGGAAGGCCAAATTTTTGTGAAATATGCTCATCTGTCTGATAAGCTTTGGGGTTGGGCTTTACTGCTTCAGCCCTTCTTGCAAATGTGCACCCACTGTGAATTTTGAAAACAATGATGAGCTGCTGCTTTAACAAGTCCTTGCATACAAATGTGCAGACCAAATAGTGGCCTTGATGGGTCCCCTCCTGGATTCTGGGAGAGGGGCCGATATATGTATGAGACAAATCAATGACGCAGAGCAATAGGAAAGTGCAAGGTGATAGGTCCAGAGGAGGATACAGGCCAGGGTAAGCACTGGCTGGGAGTTCTCCAAGTGGGGTTAAGGTCTCCTTGGTTTGGTATGCCCTCTAGCTCCCGCACAGGGCGTGGCCTACCGGAGGTGGTGGGGAAAGGTTTGTGTGGGGAGGATGGATGGGTGGTTCACAAGCACAGGTGGATCCTCCTACTGTTCTGGGAGGGACATAAAGGAGAGGTCAGGATGGGAGACTTTGGGGGCACAAAGCTGGGATAGGCTGCCCTCTACTGGCTATTCGGGCAGGCCTCTCGGCGCCCCACCCTCCTATCCCCTGCTCCACTAGCTGTCCTTCCTGCTCCGGGACCACAGTTCTTCTGGGGCGATGCCACAGTGGGGAAGGGGCCTAGACGCACCGTCTGGGAGTGAGAGCCGAGTAGAGACAGAGGGCTGTAAGTTAGATGTGGTTAAGGCTAGGAAGTACCCTAAGGGCAGCGAAGGGCGGGGCGGGAGGGTGCGGCAAGGAGGGAGGGGCACCAAGAGGTCGGGGTGCACTGGGAGAAAGAAGGTCCGCTAGCTAGGGACCCAGCATCCGCAGGCGCGGCGCTTGCGCTGTGCCACGAGACAGCAGATGGTGCTGTGGGGTTGGGGCAAAGGACAGGCTCTCCCGTCCGGCGCATCTCTTACCCTTCTCTCCCAGTGGGCCCTGAAGACCCTTAGCTCCTGTGTGCCCCCGCGCACTCATCCCTGATGTTAGCTTCTCCTCCCTGGGAGGATTTGCGCACAGAGGTGAGCAAGGATATTTATGTAAATTCAGGTATTTCTTTTCTCGTTTCTGTGATCTCTGAACAAAGCGTCCAGAGCGCCCCCAGGAGAATGCATTTGGTAGGCGCAAGGCCTAGTTGCAGGAGTGGTCGTGCCCTGGGCTCTTAGGGTGTGAAGGGAAAGAGCTGACCCTTCTGATGGGAGGGAGACCCAGCTTCCTCGTGCTGCTCCTAGAGACTTAGCAACCTATTTGGGTCACCAGAGAGCCTGAGAGGGACAGGGAGACCGGAGGGAGGTAGACTTGGGGAGTGAGGACAGAAATCTTTAGGGGAGCTCCTGCTAGGTGTGGGAGTGATCTCCGAATGGAGGGCACAGAAATTCTTTGAGGGGCAGAAATCCAGCCCCTCCGTCACCACACCCAGAGCTGGTGAGGGAGGTAGGTGGGGTAGAGTGAGCAACTCAGATCAACCACCTCTGACCCCGCCCCGCCCTGCCCCGCCCCAAGTCCGCCCCCTTATTTTCAGAGTCCGCGGAGGAAGCCTTTTAAAATGGATTTCCAACCCCACCCTCGGAGATTCTGATTCAGTTGGCTGGGGTGGGGCCTGGGAATCCGTATTTGAAAGACTACTCAGGTGATTCTGGTGCTCAAGCTCAGCCAGGCTTAAGAACCTGCGGGCTAGTCCAGCCGCCCAGCACGGCCGCTACCCGTCCGATGGGACAAGCCGAGCTTAGCGCCCCGCCCGGCGGCTGCCTCTGAACAGTTCTAATGATTAGAGAGCACTTCCTGGAACTTCCTATTTCTGTCCCCTACAGTCATCCAAAACAGGTCTAAACCTTCTCTCAGCGCTGAAGAGATTTGAAGGCAGCTGCCCGGCTGCCTGTCCGCTCCTCCCCAGCACAAACATGGCCTGGCCTTTCCTTTCTGTGCTTCCTGATAGGGGCATCCGGGCGATCAGTAGTTCATTAGCTGAGAAGGAAAAACACAACCAAGGGGTGCAGACTGTCCAGGGGTGGGAGAAACAGACTGGGGACTTAAAATGGGTCAATGTGGTAAGATAGAAGCAGCTCCCTCTGAGAAAGACCCTTACCTTGCCTGGGGCCCAGCTCTCTCCACACTAGCCTCCTTTTGGACATTTTGGAAACACCATTCATCCATCGGTGCATTTACTCTGTGCCATAGACTGTTGGAAAACCCTAAATGTATTAACTTATTTAATACTCACAAAAACCCACATATCCATTTACAAATGATCAAATTGAAGCCAAGAACCAAAGACTAATCTGGGCAATTGGCTCAAGGTCTGTCCCGTCCTGCGGGACAGGGGATGGGCGGCCATCTGGCGTCATTTGGCTCCCGACAAAGGTCAAATGGCAGGCAGCTGGGTCCAGGTCCCATCCCTGCACTCTCATCTTAAGAAGAAACTGGTACATACTGGGGGTATGAGGAGTGACGCTAGAACAGTGAGTTAGGACCATAGCAATAGCTAACATTTACTGAGCACATGCTATATGCTTGACACCAGTATAGATGCTGTTCTATGTGATTATCACATAAGCACTAGGGGGTGGTTATATTATCTGTTTGTCATAGAAGAGGAATCAGATTCAGTGAAATTTTTCTTTTTTTTGAGACAGCCTCAAGCTGTAGCCCTGGGTAGAGTGCTGTAGCATTACAGCTCACAGCAACCTCCAACTCCTGGGCTCAAGCGAGTCTCTTGCCTCCGCCTCCCAAGTAGCTGGGACCACAGGTGCCCGCCTGGCTATTTTTTGCAGCCATCATTGTTGTTTGGCGGGCCGGGCTGGATTTGAACTGGCCACTTTAGGCATATGTGGCTGGCGCCTTAGCCGCTTGAGCCACAGGCAGGAAGCCAATTCAGTGAATTTTTAATGACTTACTCAAAGTCCCTGGCACATTGTGGAGCCAGGATTGGAACCAGCTGTGTGACTTTGAGCCATTCTCCTCCCCTCTGGGTGTTAGCTCCTCAAGTGTGAAATGAAGATGTTGGCCTAAATTAGATCTAGTGAAGTACTTCTCAAGGTTTAATGTGCATATGAATCTCCTGGGGATCTTGTTAAAATGCAAATCCTAGTTCAGTAACTTTGGGTGGGGCCTGAGATTAGGCATCTCTCACAAGCTCCCTGGGGAAGGTGGTGCTGCTGCTCCTCCTGGGACCACACTTGTGCAGCCAGGCTCCAGGGGACTCACCCCACTCTGCTGTTCTGCATTTATGGGCCTAGGAAGACTCACCCCCAAAGGCCATGGAAATTGAGGAAGCAGATTATCATGAATAAAGCCCTTAGTGGACATTTTTCATGCCTGGACAAATCCTCGGTGCCTTTTCTGAAGCACATGCCCCTGAACCTTCTCCATTTCTACTGTGTTGACCTCAGCCTGACTCTTTCACAGAGTATAAGGGCTTGGTCCTGGGCCAAGGGGCATTGTTGCTCCCTATTGGAGTGAAGAGGAGTCTGTAGTCCTGCCTCCTGGGGGCCCCCACCATTCCCATGGCAACCACACTGTCTGGTCCTTTAGGGATGTTCACAGATATTCCTCATCTTCTGAGCACATGGTAAGGTTACATTTCTCCTCCTTCCTTGAATTTAGATATGGCCTCTAATTGAGACCAGAAGTGACTCATTTCTTTTTCCAGTTGCAGAGAGGGTGGCAGTGATGTGAAGACAGCATCTCCATTAACCTGGATCTGTGTGTACAACAATGAACAGTTCTGCCCGAATAGAATACACATAGGATATGAGTGGGTCAATCTTTGTGGTGTTAAGCTTTGCAGGGAGTTTGTGCATAATAACCTAGGCCCATTCCAACTAGAATGCATACTAATACCAGCAGTGATGTGACCTTAAATAGGACACACCTAGTACTGGGAGACTATGTTACTGCAAAGTCAGGATATCTCTGGGACCTTCTTCAGGAGGAGGGAGCATCTCCTTGCCAAAGATAGGAAGGGATTCCCTGAGGATGTGAACTCTACCTCCCCTGTTGTGCCAGTCCCCATTAAGAAGAGAGCTCTGATTCTTCAATTCGCCATTGGATCCCAGACCCTAGCCTGAGGCCTGGATCACAGAATATTTAATTCACACACAGTAGGAATTACTCTAAAGTTCTTTTCTATGAATTTCCCCATCATCACATCTAAGAACAGGCTGTGATTTTCCCTCTCCTCCCTCGGCCCCTCCACATGTCTCTCTGCCTTGAGCTACCTGTTAACTCTCTTTGGCCCCAGTCCCAGGTTGGACAGCTAACAGCCTTCTACTCTGCCTGATTTCAACAATGACACTGCATGGGAACTTCCCTATCAAAGTAATACTCATGAATAATAACATTCATAAACTCTCACTATGAAGCATTTGAAAATCAGAGGCAAGCAGGAAAAAAATCATCCATAATCTCACCTACATGAGAAAGAACTATTACTGACACTTTTATCTTTTCTTGCAATCTTTTTTCTCTTTGTATTCTCCTTCTTCCTGTAATTTTAGGGAGATCCTACTAATGTC